TGCGCCCACTAGCTTTAATGTTGGGGAGATCACTGTAGATCTCATATTATATACAAACACTACACAGACAGTCATTCAAGCGTATCAAGTCTAAATCTGCTTATCTCACAATTATAAACTTACCAACATTTCACTTCCATCTCCAAGTGCAAACAGACATAATCTCAGCCATATTTTTCTAATATGCATACCCACGCAAATGGACTGTTAAAGTTATGCCCTGTTAACTTCTTCCCTTCTGCTTGTCTTGGGGTAATTACTTACCTTGGAAGTCAGAATTTTCATAATGTTTTTCAATACGCTGTATAGCTTGATTTTGCCATCTTTAAGAGAGATTCATGTACTACTATAGGCTCTGGGCATTGAATAGATTTACAATAGGATAGTTTCTAAATAGCAGAAAAATCAATGAAATCTCGTGCTGCCATCTTTTATTCAGCTTTTAACTCGGGCTAGAGCTCCATTCATTTACATGCTAAAATCTTGGAAAAGTGGCTTAATTTCATGATTTATCAAAGTGTGTTTGTTGAATCTGTATAAAACTTGAATGATATACCACATGATGACCCTGTTTATGTACATGATGTGATTAAACATGCAAATGTTGATTGACATACAAATAATCCACAGATTTAAAGAATTTTAGCATTGCATCTATGGACATTTGGCCCAAGTTTTTTTAAATTGTTATAGAAAATTATTCAAATTACATAACTGTGTAAATCAAAGCTATTAAAGGAGAAAACATTTCACTGAATTCAAATATGCCATTTAAAAGAAGGTAATGTAAGTCATTAGAGGTCTAATATGCAAGTCTCTTAAAATCTCACGAAAAACGAGATTTAGCGAGATTTCAAAAGCTATATGGAAACTATACTATTAGCCAATTTTTCAATGTTGTATATAGTGAATTTTGCTTTGTCTTCATTCAAATGTGTTTTATAATTTTAATTATACTGTATGTAGAATCGGACTGTGCAGCAGAATTCAATTTCTTATATAATGATTTATAAAGAATTCAGAAAAACAAAAACAGAATTTTCAATCATTCTGACTTTTAATCCTCATTACATCTTCCAAATCTACTATTTATAATCTTAAATCATGAAAGTGGTTTGGTATTTAGATTGTTGAAGCAGGGGCAATAATGAAGGGCAGATCGTGACCAGGCAACTAATCAGGCAAAACTAAAATCTTCTTTGAAAATGTTGATGGCCATTTGTTTGAAATCAGCCCTTATCTTAAAATGAGGCCAAAACAAAGGCCTAAAATTAAAAAGTCTCGATTTTTGCAGGGCAACAAGTTCATCGCAACAGTTGCCCCAGAAAACTAGATAACCCAACTAAACAAGGAGTGAAAGTATATTGGAAAGGTTTCCAAACAAACCTGCTTGTATATATGGCATGTAAGACAGGTGCCTCATGTTTTACAATGTACCATCCAGTAATAGAAAGTATTGCCAAGTTTGTCTGATATTATCACTGTTACGTTTCTAATCTACTTCGAGGCCTGGGAATGTTAAAATACATTTCTAAATATTGGCATGTGCTTCTAAATATACTTCATTTTGAATAACTGTTCCTCTAATTTTATTTACTCAGAAGTCATGTAATCGCAACCATAATAGTGAAACATATTGAAAATTCTAATCTTTGTAATGATGATTGAAAACTGTAGAAATAAATATGACAATGAAAAAAAACATTGAGTTAATCCTTATTAACATCTCTAGTTTTAGAATACATTGATCAATCCATCCAAAACTAGATGGTTGCATCTTTTGGGTCAACCTGTACTTTATATTGTTTATTTTAATATTTTTAGTCAAACAGCAATTTAAAATATATAAGACATGGGGCAAAGAACAATCAAATAAGTCTAGCTTCAAGCCCTTTTAATCACAGAGATTTCCAGAGATTTAATGCAAGACTAGATGGAATCTGAGTTGTTGTTTCTTGAACTTCACTGAATTCAGCAACTTCCATCGAATATATTTTGAAAGTAAAGAATCTTTCGCATTGTTTGACTTAGCCTTTTAAAAGAGAGTTTCGTCTTCTTTGGTCATCTTGCTTCACAAGATTTCAGTTGCTTCAATTTCATTTGCATCCAAGGTGTGTTGTTAATTATAACACCTTGGAAGTCAAAGATGTTCTTTGGTAGTATGTAACAAGACTCTGCACTCAGGGTAAAGGCCCCCTCACATATGAACGAATCCACCAAATGCAGTCTTGCGAATTGGATAAATGCGAACCGAAGTGCATCTTTGCGCATGGTTCAGAAGTCGTCCGAATCTTTCCATAGAGATATTTACACATACGGACACCCTAACGATGCACAGCGTACATATACTAATTGGAGCGAATTTTACCTAATTCCTATTTGCAAGAATGCGTTTAGTGGATTCATTCATTTGTGAGGTGGCCTTGAGCAGACATCAAGTATGACCTGAGACCAACACTAATTCTTCTTTAGTTGAATTCTCAGACAATTCAAGATGCTCAAGTGAAATATTTAGAATGAAGAAGGCTTCGGGTCAGGCACTATCTCTGTAGTAAAGGATCAATTTTAGGCCTCATATTTCATTGATACATTTTTCACATTAGGAATGTTTCACTAACTGACAGATGGGACTGCAATCTTGATAGCATGTTTGCTTTATACCTTTAATGTTTGATTTTCCTGATAAACTGCAGTCTCGTGTAGTACAAAAATACCAAGAAATCATGAAATATTTATTAAGAAGTCAGGGAAGATGTTTAAGCATACACACCCTATGCAGACAGAGCCTGTGGGAAATATTGGGTGCGGCGCAAATGAGCGGAGGGTGCGGAGCTAACGGTCATTTTTGAATTTAAAATTGGGGTATTTCTGAAACTAAGCCGTTTTGGGACTTCAAATATACCAAGATATGTGTATTTGACACCAAATATCAATAAAATTGTGAAAATAGTAGTGCAATTCATTTTATAGCGACGCAGTATGCCTTAAACATTTCCCAGACCTATATATTTTGAGACTATCCTTTTAATACTGCGTCCCCAGCATTCTTAAAAAATGGTGTTCAAGATACACTACCCATGCAAATTATTTTTGCATCTTGGAAGCCAGGCAGTATCTGTGTGATTTTATAAAAATTCGGAAATGTTCTTCAGATATGAGCCCCCTCTAAATATTGGGTGCGGAGCTACGTTTATGGAGCTGCTCCGCACCCAATATTTAGAGGGGGCTCATATCTGAAAAACATTTCCGAATTTTTATAAAATCACACTGATACTGCCTGGCTTCCAAGATGCAAAAATAATTTGTATAGATAGTGTACCTTGAACACCATTTTTTATGAATGCTGGGGACTCAGTATTAAAAGGATAATTTCAAAATATATAGGTCTGGGAAAGGTTTAAGGCACACTGCGTCGCTATAGAATGAATTGCGCTACTATTTTCACAATTGTATTGATATTTGGTGTCAAATACACATATCTTGGTATATTTGAAGTCCCAAAACGGCTTAGTTCCAGAAATATCCCAAATTTAAATTCAAAAATGACCGTTAGCTCCGCACCCTCCGCTCATTTGCTCCCCACCCAATATTTCCCACAGGCTCTGTCTGCATAGGGTGATACACATGTTATTAAATTAGATGCTAAGTTAAGTCAATGCAAGAAGAATATATTTTAATTAAGTTCATGTTTTTGTAGTCTTTTTAATATATCCTTATGTGCTTTTATTTCAGTTGTGTAGACACCATATAAAATATATTCAATTGAAAATACAAAAATAAATACAGAAAGCACATTTCTTTAAGTCTCCTGTATCTTCCACTACATTGGCGTACATAATCCTACTTTGCGTTGCCCTTTCCAAAGATTGTGAATGGTAGATGTGGGCTTATAAACCAGAATGCTCCTACTGTACTCTCTGATAATTACATTTGGGGGTCTGTATCATTTTAATACAAATATTTAGCCAGGTTTGGGCAAAACAAAAATACCCTGCATCTGTATCTGGTAGTTCCTGCTTTCTGGAAAATTCTGCAGTTGTTTCAGAAAGAATACTAAAATAGTTATGTACAGGCAAGGTCAGTATGAGGTCCTCCCTTATTCTTCTTTCCTATCAATTTCTGTGATGTCATGTATAATTTTTAAATTTCTACCAAAAAGCCTAGATTCAGTTCAACCTAAAATGTTTGGAAAATATTTTTCTTAAGATCCTATCTTTCCATGAAGATTTATCAGGAAGGGAACTTAACAAAACAAAAAAAGTTTGCCCAATCAATAACAAATAAATGAGAACTCATTAAACTGCAATAAACTTTTCAACTTTCTCATCTGATTACCCAAAAGCATTAACATGCATGTACTTTTCCAGTTTGTTTCCTTGACTGTATAATGATTTGAGGATTAGGCAAGACATATGTTACTGCCAGAGATAAGTGTATTTACACATCAAGACAATTACGCTTCTCTTTGTTGTGTCTCCACAATTAGGGTGCCATAACCTAGTCAAGTCAGATAATCTATGGCTGGTCCTATGGAAAAGTTCCCGAAGAGGTTAATGTTAAGGTAGACAGAGTGGAATGATTTTAGGACTCACAAATAATGATACTCTAGGTCTATGCTAATCAAGACCCCTATTACGCTATCTCCTGTACCAAGTAAATGTGTTGGGGGGGGGGGGGCAGGGGCTTAATGACCTTTACTTAGCATTCAGTAAAAACTATTAGTTTTGCATTAAGCCTCCTTTATATCGATATATTACCGAGTTAAAGGTTTCTTTCTGGTAGAGAGATTGGGGAAACAACACAGGGTCTTGATGCAAGATTAGAACCTTACATACATATGTCTCTTGCATCAAGTCCTCTGTACTCTCTTAAATGCATTACTGGTTGAGTAAAAAGACATGATGCAAGACTAATATTCCAGTATATGAGTCAGTTTACTTGGTCTACTTGGCCCATCTCTATCATAATATATACCATGTAGATATTAAAAATAGACCTACCCATTGATGGGGTCCACCACAATACCCCTGGGTCTCTGCAAGCCAGTAGATATCACAATCTGCCTATGTTGTCCATCGTAACCAACTCTACCTATACTATAGGTGGAGCTGTCAGTGAAGTATATCGTGTGGCTCAGCCAGTCTATAGTAAGTCCATTGCACTCTTCTATATCTGCAAATAGACAATGAATTCTAGGTTAAAATCCATTCAAGCAGGTTTGAAAGAACTGAAAACAAGACGAATACTTATTCAAATTTATTTCCAAAACATCATCATAAAATATGTGTGCACTATTTACTTCTGTATTTTTTAGAAAATAGGTACAGTAATGATATGAGCGGGGAATGTTGTAAATTGGTGTAAAGTCTTAGAAAAGATCTCTCAATTTATTATATTCTTTGTTAGACCTTTAATTTGGAGTCTTTAGATTTCCTCCCCAAATAAATTCAAATTATGCTTTATGTCAAATATATTACCTCATATTTTATTCTGGCCATTGCCAAAGACCTCAATCACTAGTGATTTTGGTCTTTTAACAATGAACAATATAAAATTTTCGATCATAAATTCCGCCATAAATCATAAAATCTTGGTCTTTATTCCTTAATAATTATATTGATGTAATACATGTAATGTAGTATTTGTTGCTAATGCCTTGTTTTTAACAGGGGAAACATTCCACGATTTATTTCAAAGCATTAATTGACAATGATGCCTTATAACTGAAGTATCTAAGGAAGGAGAGCCATTAGCGTAATGAACATGATAAAATACATCAATTAGCTTGTAGAAAACATACAACTGGATATAGACAAATCTATACTCTTATTTGCCTAATTATCTTTCTAATGTTTACTTTCCATTACATGATTAACATATCAACCATTTACGTTGCGGACTGGTTGTCTAAACTCCGAATGATGGTATGTAATTTTAATAAGATGGGTAAGAATATCCAAGATCTTCGTAAGGTACAATCACTCATGCATGACCAATTATGGTTTTGAAAGTGGTCTTGCTATGGTATATAGCTTGCTTTGGTGAATCTGTTAAAATAGACTTGTTTTGTAAAACCTTGACAAGAGTGCAAGAAATTCCCATTTTTCTCAATTTATAATTGTAATTGTATTTTGCAGAAGCGAAACCTATAAACAGCTCACTAACTTTGAGTAATATGTAAAATTACTAGAAATGTATACTTTTGTTTGTACAATTATCACCAAAATGTTATTTATGAGGGGTCAGTTACAAAGACCTACTATAAGGGCAAATATAAAATATAAGAGGTAAACACCAATACCAAATGCCAAACACCAACCACCGAACACCAAATGTCAAACAATGTCCACAAAAAGTCAATAATGATAGTCAACAAGACATCAACACTTCTAGTTGTAACATGAAATCTTATAAACCATGTTCAAATATATCCTCAAATGAGGTGAATACCCATAAGGTATTAAAACTAACACAAGGCATCATGAGAGAACAAGATTTATGTTTAGTTAAAATAAGCCAAACTAATAGCTTAAAAGTAAAAGACAATAGAGAACAATTTGGACTATTATAGCTCATTAATTAAAGAAATTCTTCAGAAAATAATTCACAATGGTCAAGCGAAACAAAAATTAATTACTTCCAAAATACATCTTCACTTTCTATTTTTCCATCACATCTTTTTTGCGAGCTGCTAGGATTATTTTCTATGGTGATTATGGGATAAATTCTTATCAATATGGTATCCTGGGGGTTCACCTCCTGTGTTAATCACAAGAATGCAAGTTCAGGTAATAACAGAGATAACACGAGGAGGTTTTCATTCATTAATTAATTGATAGATCCATATCTTGGCTCTACGTACATGTCTTATAATCCCATCAACATAATCCCTATCAACATTATTCCTTTTAGCATAATCTCGGTATTAATATAATCCTTATCAAATTCTTCCTGATAACATCAAGGCCAAAAATAATTGAATTAACAGAAATAATTGATCACCAATTAATACAGGTCTAAGATTCAGAAATGTCTCAAGTTTTATAAAACAAGAAAAACTATTTGGTGGCAACTCTCTTGAGTACAAAATCCTAACAAATATTTTAGCAGCTGTTTTAGATATTTTGAGGTAAGAATCAACAAAATATGACATAATATTTGCACAATATCTACTTTACCTTTGATTTGAGTATATTAACAACAATATAGTGAATATCTTAAAATACCTTTTGGAGATCTTAAAATTCACAGAAATTTTGATTTTCTTGACATTTGTATACATTCCTTGGGGGTCTTACGCTTATAAGGCTGAATTTTTTGAGATTTCATGTTGTAAAACATGGTTTGAAATAAAGATTTAATTTTAGATTTTACAGAAACACAGCTATTTTCAACTTTTTCTCAAATAAGGAAAACCCATGTCAAGGTGGATGAGACGCTAAAAGCACCATGTGTAAGGTTGATGGGCTCATGGACTCCAGGAGGACATATACAAGTAAAATTCAATACAACTCTGAAGGTACTGCATGCAAAGTCGATCAGCTCACGTAAGGCTGCATGGCATGTTCTAAAAGGTGTGCTGGCTCCGATTTAGTGGACTCTGTGGCCTTATCCATTGTTTAGTCATTGTGTGGTTAAAATGACTAAAAGGTGGACTGATACAAAGGCCACTGTTTAGGTATTTTGATAGAAGAATGACTAAAAAGTGGCTTCAAACTGGAGTATAAAGGGTTAAGTAAAAGGATGGTACTGAGTGATTCAACCCACCCAAGATGCATGCCTAATAGAATCATAAAACCTTATCAAGTGATACAATCTGTACCTGACACCATCAACTATTGTATCTTAGTATCCCTTAAAATTTTTATATCATTTTGTCATTGTAACAATTATCACAAACAATGAAGCTCTGATTTCATAACTTTACATGACCCCAAAACAGCCTCGAGACAGCTCAATGTTGAGAGGTGGGGGTAATCAATGCTAAAAAAATTAATTGCAAACTTTTCCGCAACTTGCAGTTGGTAAGGGTATATGTGTATCCCAATTGATATAGAATTTTCCCTATTAAATGATTATGTTGGAGGAGTTTGCAATCATTAGTTTTAAGCTGTGATTTGCAAAAAAAATAAAAGAACTAGATATAGTTGAATTCTATTGTTGATGAAAATTATGAAGTTACGTCATTTTTTGTAAATATATCAGAATCAATAGCATTCCATTGTAAGTTTAAGGCAGAGTAAATCTGGAAGAGCTGAATTACAAGGCTCTCATACTTCATCTCTAAAATCTAAAATTGACATGCTTTATAATTTTAGTATGACCACACTTGTATAATATTTGCATAATTTGTCAAACTTAAATTATCCTTCACATTCTTTTCAATGGGGACAATCTAGCCGACAATCTACCTAACAACACTCATCTGCACGCCACCTAAATATCTTTGTTTTGTTTCCCTGACAAATGTTGACTGTATATTTTGAAAAGTGAAGCTACTCATGTTATGATGTTGAACCCCGGAGCTGGACAACCAACCTTAACTCAATTTAATTTGGAGAGGGGGGGGGTAAATGGTAAAACAATTGATTAAATTTACTTACTTTTTTCCATAACTATCAATTTGTAAGGGCAGATGTGAATTCCAATTGATATAAAATGTTCCCTTACTGAAAATATCATAGAAGTTTGCAGTCAGTAGTTTAAATCCTTCAGTATATATTTTATGAAAATGAAAAAAACATGGCGAAGTGTTAAATTATATTTTTGTAAAATGACCAATATAAAACCATTCATTTTTTTGTTTTGTAACTATATCAGAATTATTTATCATTCCATTAAAAGGGTCGACTCTTAATGGCAGGGAGATATGGAGGTAGGTCCGGAAAGTCACTTTTATTTGCTTTTCCAGCCCCATGTCATTTGAATGGTAGCTTTTATCAAAAATTGCCACAAGTTTCGCTTATTCCTATAAAGACTAAATCTGAAAAAGCTGTTTTCCTTGAACATGCTGATTTGAGTATTATCGTTAATGGCAATTATTTCTCCAGCACTTTTTTATCACTAACATTTTTTGTGGTCTTGGGCAAATGTTGCCTAAGTTAAAATAGATAATAAAGATAATTATCAAAACTCTCACTAATTGTCATATTTTCACTAAAGCAAGAAATTTAGGACAAATGTCCATCTGATAATATCAGATAATATTAATAATTATCAAAACTATAACTAACAGTTATAATTTTAGTTACATCAAAACTATCACTTTTATTGATAACTATTTCTAGCAAATGTTTCATGGAAAAGGGCCCGTGTGATAATTTATAAAAACAATTGACAATTATCAAATCTACTGCTAATTTTGGTAATTTAACTTTTATCAAAACTATCACTTTTATTTATTATATATTTTTCAGGCTGGCTGGTAACAATGAAATTATATATTTTCACTTATTGATAAAAGCCAGTTTCCGCACCTAAATGAAAATCCATAAGTGTTAAATTGCATGTGATGATGATACCGTTACATACTTTATCTCTAAAATCTCAAATTCACATGCTTCATAATATTTATGGAAATGACCACACTTGATATTGAATTCACACAATGGGTACATGGAGATGATGAATATAGTTCAGTAGTTAGCATGTATTTTCTGCTGCTGGATTTAATGAATTTTTTGGATATAGCGATGCTCAAATGGATTATCTGGCATACATAGTATTACTGAGTTATACATGAACATACAGGGATCATAGACATTCACTTGTTTGCTTCATAATTCGACTAGTTATCCAAATTATCACACTGAAACTTGGATAAATGCTGAACTTTAACTTAATATCAATCTGCCATGTCTTTTAAAATTTAAATTTTTTAAACTTTAAAATTTCAGGGATGAATCTCAAACTGATTAGTTTTGGGGCATTCTGGCAGATGTTGCAATTTTGATTTTTTTACCTAAAATCTTGTATTTTCAACTGATTAAAGAATTGGGCATTGGGGATAAAAACTCGAGGACCATCCATTGGTATGGACATATTGTACACGTTTGTGTTCTTGTTAATAAGTTAGAATGGAAGAAACAACTGGATTAATTAAAATACCTGCCATCTGGAGATCAGTAGCATATTAATGAGAGAACAAATATATTATATGAAACAATATCCCATTCCTTATGAGTGAATTGATTACGGGTAACACAATCTCTCCATAGCCAGGGGGGTGTGATGGGTCGCATCCCCTCCATAACCAATAAAAATAGAACCATTAGATAGTGGAAGAAAAGAGCTTTAAAATGCTTTTTTAAGCTTCTAGCTCAATTTTGAGCAAAATTGCATCAATTTTTGTAAAATCCAAAACAGATCTTATTTTTTTGTTTCGCCTTGCTTATGCCACGATCATGCCACCCACTTGATTGAAACCCAAAAATTTGGCGATCGCACCCCCTGACTGAAAGCTGACTACGCCCCTGCTCTCCAATCTACACTAAAATGCCTTCCTCTTGCATGTTACAAAGCTATATTTTAGATAAACACCGTCTACTCATCCCGCTAATCATGAAATGTGTGTCTGTGCTCCACCCTTGGTGGTCAAACCTTCTAAATTCCATCTTTTTAATTTGAAAGGAAGATATTTAAAAATCCACATATTTTTTTTCTTGTGCTTGGGAAAAGGACTTGACAAATGGGGGGCTTCGTGACATCCCTATCGAACTTCATTTGCTGGGATAATAGTATTGATAAGTTAAATTCAATTTTAGATATATATTGCTTGAGGCCATCTTTTAGTCAAAATCCTTACAGAAAACCTAAAGTGTGGCCCATAATGGAGTATAGAGGGTTAAGTCCACTTTTTAGTAATTCTGTGAAGCAATGTCTAAAAGATGGCCCAGAGTCCAGTCCATCTTTTCTTGGGGCCAGTCCACTGATTAGAACATGCCAGGCTGCATGAAAAGTTCAATCTGTCATTAAAGGAATCTTGTCTATATCAGATGCCAGAGATAATTTACAAGACTGATGTAAAAGGATGTTAGAGATATTGAATATCAGACAGACAAGATCAATTGTTGTATTTACCTGTTCTAAGAGTATGCAGCAAGGTATCTTACATATGCAGTATGCACATCAATATTTCCTAGACTGTGAGCTCTAAACTCAAGACATTTTATTAAAAAGATAGAAGTCTTGGTTCCTTATGATCTACCTCCCCTATTCCCTTGTTATACCTTGAACTATTTAACTATTTCATTAAAGATATGAGACACTATCCTTCTTTCTTTATGAACCCCCTTCCCTTTCCCTAAATACCTGCAGTAAAAAATCTGTAAAAAATCAGTTTAAGTTATAAACTACCTGAAGACTGGAGATGAAGCTCTTTTTTAAGAAGCAAAGTCAAATAAATGCAAAGCATAAGTAATAATATAGTAACCCCCCTATCACACCAAACTAGTTCTTACCCGTTCTTGCCAGTCCTACGAAAACGTCGTAAAACGGGCTCAATCTGGCTGTGATCGGGAAATATGTCTAAAATAATTAGCTACTTCGTTCATAAACAGTTTTCAATACGTCCATCTCATTCGCAGTTCGTTCAGGTCGTACCACGATCGGTGTGCAACGTCGTATAACGCGTCCCTTAGTCTAGAAGGTCATCATGACCTGATTACAGAACGGTATGGTCGCCATCGAATTTTCAATTGATTCAAAATTCAAAAATCACCTTCCCGTCTGAGAACGTTCATGCAGATCGTAAATAGACCTTAGAAAGTTGCAGCTACGTTCATTCCGTTCGCACACAGTTTAAAACCAGTTTTGAAGAACGCAGTGGCAACTTGTTTGGTGTGATAGCTATATTTTTGCTAACTTGTTCATAAGCAGTCTTTAATACGTTCTTAATCAGTTTTAACCCGTTTGCAATTAGTTCTACCTCGTTCTCAATACGTTCTCAGACAGTTCAACTCGTTGTAAAATCGTCCCTAGTAGGATTGAAGTACGACAGTTCCGTTCGTAGTACGTCCCGCTCGTCGTAAGTACGTTGTCACTCGTTCTAATTGTAGAACGTGACGACCACGAGAACATTTTGAGCATTTTCCAAGTTCTAGAGGACCTACCCGTTCGAGTACGTTCGATGAAGTTTGTAAATAGACCCCAAACGGTTCTTAGTACGTCCAGTCCGTTCGTACACAGTTGAAGCCCGTTTTCGAGAACGTAGTGAGAACTAGTTTGGTGTGATAGTAGGGTAAGGAAACTTGAATGCACAAAGTATCATCTTACCTTCCAGAAAATGTGAAATCTTTGACAATAACACCCTATATATGCAACAACATCAAGATTCCCCTTTTCGTTGTTTCAAGTAATTTCTTGCAAGACCTCCAATGTAATAAATGTAATAACAATAAGTTTTATTAACTGGAAGCATCCTGCTACGAATAATATGATTTATTGGGTCATAATTCTGTGTATATTGATGAACCTGACGTAGTGTAACGCCTAGAGTGCCTTTATACTGACATATCATTATAGAATCTCAGACATTATTTGAATTGGAATATTTAAGAGCAATCGGGGACATCGTATGTTACATAATTGCAAGATACAAATGTGTTCATTATAAAATCCCAGATCACGTAGTGTTTTATTATCTGTAATTACAAAAGGTGAAAGGATGATTTAAAACGCTCACATACAGAGTCGGTTTAATTATCTCTGTTGAAGATGAAGGTGTCATTAAAGTTGCCATCTCTAAGATCAAGCGCTTTATTATAGCTGCATTTCAAACATTTCTGCCTTACAATTTGAACAAAAATGTTGGCATAAAGAGGGACAACATTTGTGATGACGAACAATGAAACAATATCATTGAAATGTCCTTAAATGGTTGCATTATAAAAGTGTAACCATTCATATGAAATACATTGATGGATTAAGATGAGGCATAATTTGATGATGGTTCTACAGCCACTACTTCCTCCATACAAGAACAAGAGAGAAAGCATCCAATTACCAAAATAACAATATTATCAAGACAATAAGTCTAGCATCATAAGAATAAGAACAACTCTATTGAATTTGCTTTGTTTTTATAGTTCATTTTATTTCACAAAATAAAAGTTATTACATGTACAATAAATAACATTTTGGCTAGGCTCAAAGTGTTTAATTACTTCCATAGCTTATTCTATCTCTGCAAGAACGCCTCCAATGACACAGAATGATCAAAACAATATGCTTATATTAGCACCATAAGAGTAACTCTGCTATTGTTCAAGTGTTGAAAGGTGACTACATTAACTCCAAGTGGCTGAACCTATTCTCCAAACCAATAATACTTAATCAATTTATCCCAATTGAATCAGTCGTTATATTGGCGCAGCAATTGTATCGATTGACCATGTTAAAGACATACTTCAGATTTTGTTACATGAGGCACAATGTTAGCAAATATTGCATTTTCTCAAGTTGAATCATTGAGGTGTTGACATTTTGGAAATTATCATACAGATGCTCCATATCTTCCAAGACTTGAAAATTTGCATTCAATACCACTCAAAATTGAAATGTCTATTTGGGTTTGGAGGCGAAGTCACGCAAGTTGCCCGAATATGACCGAGGAAAATTTAAAACGTGTCTTATAAAAAGTTCAAACCTCCCTTCCACTATACAGTACAACCTGCCTTGCTGAACACCTCTCTAGTGAGCGCCTGTGTCTAGTGAATACATCTTCTCAGCAGATACTATACTAAGCTCTCTAAAAAATAACTCTGTAGTAAAGACCTTTTTGTGGTTCCATAGGTGCTCACTATACACTGGTTTTACATATATGCTAATCTTCTGAATCTAGCCTAATTATGATTGGTCCAGAGCTCTTCAAAACCAGCAGGTAACGTTGCATTATTTTCTGTACAACAGGTCTCATATCCAAAAATCTCTGCCATATCTTTATTGGAATTCATCACCAGTGCCTTTCTTTTCTCATCGAAGTAGTCCTTACACTGTGAATGATTGCTAGGATTCGCTCTCCTCGTCTTTATCTTCCGAAAGTTTTCCCATTTTACATATCCCCCTTGTTTTTCATATCGTTTCAAGCAATTCATCGGGTCATAAATCAACATTTCTGTGTGCACCCAACAATCGGCACTTTTCAAAGTTAGGTCTGTTTCCCAATTGGTTGTTTTGAAATACTTGTAAATAAGTCTTTTTGAATATATCTTTTTATTGTCTTGTAACCACAGAGTGAGTCTGTCTAGGTCATCCGTATTGTTGTATGGAGGTGTCTTCCCATAAACACTCTTATCCTTTGTCATGTTGTAAACATCACCTTTCCCACCTGAGCCATATGTCCATGATGAAAGTAGATAATTACACGGGGAACGTACATGCGCTATGACGAAAAAAAAATATTTCAGATCTGGTGTCAGTGTTTGTCCTTCATTTTGAAGAAAGTATTTAGTTTTATTGGCTCTGTATCTGCTAAGGTATTCTCTACCTCCATGGATCTCTATTTGCCCTCCAACTACTCTACTTAATATGGTCTTTATTTCCGATCCACCTGCTTTTGGAAAATGACTGAATAACAACTGCTTGCGACGTTTCCGTGAACCGTGTGATGCTAGTAATGGCGTAGCTTTTTCCTTTAAGGAAGTTATCGTTTGTTCCTGATCAACCCCACCCTTGTTCATTACATGGCTTGACTTATCCTTGTTTGGCAACTTAGGCATGATATCACTCTCTGTTATATCCTGATAGTGTTTTGAATTAATGGTGAAACCAAATACAAGCAATATAGTCATTATTGTTGAAACTGCGAACAAAACTTTTAGCTTCAACATACTTTGTGTGTTTTCAGCTTATCAATCACTATACTCCTGTACATCTAAAAATGGCTTTAGATTATTAAACTTAATCCATTTTATATTGTATTTAAGTATTACCTATTTAAGTTGAACGCTCTTGGTTCTGCCAAACAATGTTTGTTATTGTGGGGATTTAAAGAAATACAAAGACAAATATATGATTTATCTACATTGTTAAGGCAAGTAAATCTTTGATTTTGAAGTCACGTGTTCACTGCTATCTTGGTGAATTACTGAAAATGAGATTCTCTCTTTGACCAAATACCAAATTTGTACCATTAATAATCTATTTGTGATTGCGTTTTTTAAAAGTATAGATTGTGAATGTAAGAATTTTGCACGCACATGTGAAAATTCCTGGGGAAAATAGTGAAATAGTGCAAGTAAATCTTTGATTTTGAAATCATGTGTTTACTGTTATCTTGGTAGATTACTGAAAATGTGATTCTCCATTTGATCAAATTTTCTACCATTAATCATCTACCTGCATCCTATGAGAAAATATGTATGCATTGCAGCTCGTTAAGTACAAGTATTTGCTATGTTTTTGTCATGTGCTGTATGATGTATTTTTACAATCTAGAGATGATGTATACTTCTAGCACTAACCTATCTAACATCAAAACCCTGTATATAACCCCCCCCCCCCTCCTCCCTTTCCCCCATTATCATGAATCATCAACCTGCAATAGATGAGTTAGATGCATTACCAATCATACATATATCTTATGTCATACAGTTATAAGATTTGTTTTCAAGGAATATCCATGGAAATTCTATGAAAATTTCTTTTTTAATTTTTTTAATCTTACTACCATTTTTGTTAAATGTTTTCTGACTATAAACTGAAGACACCAAGTGAAGAAAACGAAAGGGGGAATATGAAACCATTCTCCATAATGAAGATCGACTGAGATATATTGAATCAATTTATTTAATTTAATTGCTGATTAAGCAATTAATGTCTCACTCTTATATGAGACTCAAATGACAATAAGAGCTTTTGGGAAGAATACTAATGAGAAAGTGTCAAACGTAATAAAATGCTTACTGTAAATTCAATAAGGTGGAACCCAAGACCTCAGGATAGTCGTTAAAGGTTTTGAGGTTTCTAATAACAATTTATTTACAAATAATTATGTAAGAATGGCTTTATTGCAGCTTGAGTGCTAATGAAATTATAACTTTTAATGGTGGAAATAACTTAATGATGATTAATTTTGAGTGTGAAAAATAAAGTGATATGCACTAGAAATGAGGTGATGTTATTGTGTATTTGCGGTCCTTTTTAGGTGCAATACATCAGGTTTTCTTTAAGTGCAATACGAGTTATACAACAGAATCATAGCACCAGATTTCTTATTTCTAGCCTTTTACAGTGCACTAACACAATTCTATCTGAGAACTGCATTTTTTATTACCTTGAAATAGGTATATGATTTGTTCACCTAAAAATGATTTAACAAAATGGCATTTGCAATCCATCCGGTGAACATTTAGAGCGAGACAACATCCAGCAGTTACATAAGGACCTCAGATGTGTAAAATCGTGTTAACGCTAACAATGACTTCCCCAAGATTTCCAATATGCTCTCTCCTTGAATATAATCCAATTTATATCCTTCCATTTAGAACGGTGTAGACGACGTGATATAATCATTTTCCCGCAAGGTTGTATCTACTCATCGCCAAGAAGACAATTACAAAATAGCATTAATGTAATTTACGCTATTGGATGAGAATCTACGAGGAGACATAATGCAATAGAAATGATTCTTGCAAAGTAATCACACGGAATGAATTACATACATATAAGGTTTAAATAACATAATAGATTCTTGTCAGTATAAAATTTAATAAAAAAAAAAAATTCCCGATGCTACTTAAAAAACTGAAATAAATCTGGAATCACAGTGCAGGGAACAATTTATAGGTAGAAAAAAATGAAGGCGAAAAGAATATCTCAGTTCAACAGCTGCATTAACTATGTTAGTACTAGACTTATGAACTAGATCAGATTAAAGACTGAATATACTCTGGGGTAGAGGAGTCATATCCTATGGGTCTATGCTGTCAGTGCAAAATTACCAGAGAAAAATTATCTTTGACAGATTTCAGATTTTTGCTACCGTTTGCTGGACCTTGAGTTCACTATATTATACTCTTTAAACTAGAGACAATTTTTTATCATGGGATAAGTTGACATGAAATAACAGTATTTCCCCATGACATAAAATTCACATTAAGCCCTCTTGCAAATAATCATTAAAGCTACAATACAGCTCATATTCATATTGAATGTTCTCTGCAATAGTCATAGTGCAGGATTCAGGGTAATATTGATCAATTCTTTTGTATTATTTTAAATCTACAGTAAAACCTGTATACAGTGATCACCTGTGGAGCCACAAAAATATGTTCATTGTAGGTAGGTATTCACTACAAAGAGGGACTTCAACTTTTCCATGTTAAATTATTATTTTCAATAATTTTGCCTGTTGTTTTCACTTACTTTGCCTGTTGTGAGAAATTCTAGTGAAACCTCAGAGTTAGATATTATATTTACATCATGGAATTGCTTTATAAATGGCCACTATATTATCAACACTCTGTTTATAATTTGAGCTTGAGTAGATCATGCTATGATTGAGGCACAAATACTCAATATCATAACAACAAAAATAGATATGCATGAATACTCAATATCATAACAACAAAATAGATACATTCAATTTATATCTGAATCATCCTATAATAACCTGATAAAGAACACCTTTACGCAGTGGGAAGCTTGGAGATATAGAAGACAACACTGTGTATGCCGCATTGGCAACACGAGATCAATAAGGATAAAACAGGATTAGTGCATACATAATTGCTTTAATACAACTTACCATATGTTTTCTATAGGACAGCTAGATTTTCATATTAAATGATTCAACTTAAAGCAATGAACTTGAATTTTCAATTAAAATAATATAATGCAAATTTCAAGTCTTCATTTAACATAAATACACTGCTGAGTTTAATTTATCAAGCCAACCCTCAAGGTGTTAAATGTAATTTGATTTTATTGTGTATCTATCAGCATGCAAATGTGGATGTTAATGATTCAGAAATCTTCATAAAATTCACAATTATAATATTTCTGTAAAATGAAAACAAGTTTTTCTTATTGTATTGATCAATATCAGCTACAGTGTAGTTATAAAAGCATTATATGTTGATGATTCAGAAATCTTCATAAAATTTATAATATAAATATTTCTTTTAATTATGAAAACAAGTTTTATCAATATCAGCTACAATGTAGTTATAAAAGCATTAAGGATATTGGTTTCGTTTTACCAAAAATAATGAATCTCTACAAAATGTTTACCTTTATGAACAGTGTTTAATTCGAATTATTTTATTATTTCATAACATGATAAATCAACATGCCTACACCCCTCTCCTTTTCAATTATTTGGCACCTAAATTTCTTCATAAAATATAACAATTTTCATGAAATTATTCACATTTTCATTTATTCTAGCCTATAGGTTTTTAGCCTAAAATATATTACAGTATACTGTACATGTATAAATATGGAAATAACCCTGATATATGACTGAATGTAGAATATAAATATGCAGCCTGTTATCTCTGTGCTGTACCCATCAGGTAAAATTCTATAATAGGCAATAACAGCATGGGCGTAGGCAGCTTTCAGTTAGGGTGGTGCAATCACCCCAAAAAATGTTGTTTTTCAGTCAGCATTTTAAAGCTCTTTTCTTCTATGTAATTATTCTATTTTCATTAGTTTGGGGGGTTGTGTTAACACCCATCGCACAACTCCCCCCACCCCTGGATACGCCAACGAACAGTGATGGTATGGGTAAAAATATGAAATACAGTGCTTAGAACCATCAAAGTGAAGCTACAAGTCAACATCTAAGACAAAAAGACGTTCCGAGATGTGAGATGGAGTCGAGCCTTCTTACAATGAATGCAACAAAGTGCAACAAAGCTGAACCCCTTTTGAGAATCATTCGATATGAGACAGATATAGATAGCTTTTATATAAGTCTGATAAATACTGAACTTGCACTTCACTGTTCTTGCTCCATCATTTATTAACATCATACGGCATATGACAGCCCCTAGCTAATCAATAGCAATAAAGAGGATGGAAAAAATAGATGTTACTTTTCAATATGTTTATGGATTTAAGGTAGACATGGTATATGAAAATTAAAAGCTTTATTCTTTGTTCTATTTTATACTTATTAAGGAGGCTGATGATGAAAAGATTTTAGGTAGGTAGAGCAGAATTACTTTGGGACCTGTGAATACAGAATACAAGTTCAGTAAAACCTGTCTTAGTGAACACCTCTCTCTAGTGAACCTGTGTTTAGTAAACACCACTTTAAGACACATTTTACATTGACTCCTGTATAAGATCTCCTCTCTGTAATGAACATATAAATAAAGTGAACATGTTTTTGTGGCTCTATAGGTGTTCACTATATACAGGTTTCACTGTATATGTTAAACAAACTGATTCTAATCCGCCTACCTTAACAAGTATAACACAAGACCCACTGTCATCCTAGATCCTTAATACTATAAGCTGGTGCAACTTGATCACAGATGGTGAGATACTTGAGGGTAGGTGTGTTTATGCATCATGGTAAACTACACATTTCCATTTAACTGTCCATCTGGGGGTTCAGTGTGGGGTTCGAATTAACCCCCCCCCCCCCCCCCTGGCCTAAAATTCTTTCAAAATCATGCAGTTTTTCACAATTCTGAGTTATCAAAGGTGAACCCCCTGGAATTTTTGCAAATCCTAGCTGAGGGCCTGATACTTATATTGTATCTGTGTGATTCATAGTAAATACATTCAATGAAGTGAGGAATTAATTCAACTATGACTACGTATGAGCCATGATTTCTCCTCAAATGAGTACTAATAACTCAATCAAACCATGTGCATGAAACCTAGTGGTACATTTAACTCTATTGGGTTGCAAGATACAACAAGATGTAATGAGTATGGAGTGAAATTATAGGTGAACCTAGTTCCATTTGGAATGCAAGACAGAAAAAGATGTGATAGTATTGGGGTGTTATTTATGCTTTAAATATATAGGTAACCCCCCCCCTCAAACAGCAAATTGTCTGTCTGAGAGTCACATACCCTCCCCCTAACACATCCCCTATGTATCTTTCCTTTCAATTGCAAGAACTACATCTGTACTTGATTCCCTGGCATTTGTTTAGAATTCAATGTGATAACTACAAGCATGTTTACTTGATTCCTTGCTATTTAATTCTTTTCTACCTTATATCATATTTAGAATTACAAACGCTTGATATTTTGCTGATGGGGAAGTTACCTTACCCTATAGCAGTACCTTAACATTATTTTCTCTTCATTAATGTCAGAGTGCTCATAAAATATATGAATACATATTCTATTTATAAGTACTTTTTCTATAATGTACTCGAAAGAAAAGACAATTCAGTAACGTTTCCTTCTTTAAATAAAACATAAGTTTTCAGGAAATACTTAAAAGATTGTTGAGCAAACATGGGAGACATTGTTTGGTTGGGTTTATACAGAAACAGTAACCATAGCAACGAGATATGTTTAATAATTTCCTGTATCTGTAGGTATGGAGTCTGTATAGCATAAACTAATGCTCTACCTTTACAGATAATTCAACAGCGTGCAATTCAACCAAATGAGAATAGGAGCGTAGTGATCTTTTTAATTCTTAATCCTCGATGAATCAACTCTGAACCTAATTTCGATGATTTTCCCAGGTGCTAATTCTGCATGCAATCTTTTGTTTTCTTTCAGTTTCTTTGTATTTTGTAAGGAATCTGAGATATTTTGTCCAGAAGGCCCACTCAAGGCAGGTGTGCTGAAGGGTATAGGTCTGTTTAGGTACTCCAGCGTGGTTTAGTAGCTCAACTGGGGAACTACTCACCATTTGAATCAGTCTGTAGAGTAAATCTGAAATGAAACTGTTTGATTTCCCGATCGCTAACCTGACAAATCGATGAAATGGCCTACATGTCTTAAAGCATTTTTTGCTAATCTTTACCCAGTGGAATAAAAAACATCCACCGTCAATCAAGTACTTTCTTGTATTTCAATTTAATGTCTTGCATTATCACATTACTGTCAATTTAGAAACTTTCCATAGCTTGCTATCTCATAGGTAAGGTTTTGGAATAATAAGCTTTTTAGCTTTTTAGCAAATTTTCAATTTGAGATGACTTGCAGGTTTTAATATTTTCCTGCATATTTTATACCATGAATATCAATAACTAATTCGTTAGTAACAATCATATCCACTTGTTATTGTAGACCTAAACTATGTTGGGAAAATACTTGAGGACTCCATATTGAAACACTTCAATTATATCACTATATCTGTTCTCACAGCCAATTATTTCTGGAAATGTTACCACATCATTTCCGAGCACTTGGTTGTTGTTTAGCTTTCTGCAGCGTTGTCATGGAAGTAGAAATCTACTGAGATACTCAGAACTCTTTATACCTTGCCCGAGGTATTTTAACCCCCTCCCTCATATTAACCATGAGATGCTTTAGGCAAGACTATCTGCCTTGTAAAGATACAACCCCCTTTCTGCCTCATCAAATTTCTGGACCCCCCCTCCATATTCAAAAACTATGTATAAGGCTATCAACCTTGTTATGCATGTTGTTTAAAGGAAACTAATAGAAGGTTGTGCTTTCTAATGATGGTAGTTGCACTAATCCCCTGTTTCAGAGAGAAAAAAAAGCAATTTAGGGAATTGATACAACTCTACAACAATATAGCACCCAAGCGTATGATAAAAAAATGCATGGTTTCATGTGAATCATGAGACTTTTCATTCTTATGTCATCATGACCATCTGGCTAGTCTAGCTACAAACCCTTGTGACCCCCCCCCCTCCCCCCACTAGTGTGAGAAGGTGTGTAGTCAAGTAGAGGGAGGGGGTCACAGTGGCTTGTAGCTATACTACATTATGACATTTTAAGAGAGATTGCTAATTTACTATGTAACAAAGGAGATGTGATGAGTATCAGAATAGGTTCTTGTATCTTATAACACCTATGGTGAGGCATCCCAGTCTCCTATACAGAACAGAAAGATGGATTTAAGTACCAGAATGCCCCACACCCAGACCATTGATGAGTCTGTAAATCTCTCATTGAAGATACTTCCCTTGGTTAAGTTACCCAATGCTTCCATCTCATGGCCTTAAATGTGGATAAAGCACCCAATCTTCAAGATCTATAAAATATTATTAAAAATAGTATCCATGTACCTGGCTTTGGTCCTAAAGCTATATACTTATACTGTTGCTTTTTGTCAATTTCTGTGGACATGAACTGTGATGATTCTGATATCTTCAGCATGGGTAAATCCCTAATTCAGATAAAACTAGTTATTTATATGATAGAATCCCACTCTGTATAAACACAGATATCTTCTACTCCTAATATTAAAATACCATCTTAAGATTTATCAAGAAACTCAAACTCTCCAAAATATTTATCTTTATCGTGAAATTAAGACCTTTAAAAAATATCAGAATAAGGTATTTTGATATTGTTGTACCAAAAGGGTATTAATGTTTATTACCTGTCTGTATATTCCTTGAAAGTTACTTTCACTTCCATGGTATTTACCAAAAACATGATTGACTATTACTAAGGTATTTTTGAACCTCTGAAGTCACTTACAAGCAATTAAAGCTAACTTACACACTGTTAAGTTCTTAGATAAAATACAACTTGATAACAAAGTTTCAGATCAAGTGCTTCATTAGAATTTCTAATGAAATGCAAAATGAATGAAACAATAGGCAAAATGATTGAACCCCGGAATTCTAACATGGTCATGGTTGCAAAATCACTGAAAATAACAGGCGATATTGCTAAAATCAAAGACAACAGGAGAAAATGTGGTACTGTATAGCCTAACTGCTTATGAAACTCCTATACATGTTTTCTGTAAGGTTAATAAAAGGGCAGGCTGAACCATGCAGAACAGTTGTATAATAAACTGATGGAAACACATTGCACATGGATCTTACAGGATGTTTTCCTTGTGAGCCATCATTTTAGATCAGCATCTAATTCAAAATATTTCTTTACAGTTGTCATGGATTCCAAATAAGATTCGGAAAAGCTTGGTCTTCTGGCACCTCTCATGCACTGAATCGTATAGACGAAGTATTCATGTATGTCTGTTTACATGTTATTTCTTGCTCTTTCCTCTCATCAGTCCTCCTAATTTAGACAGCTTTAAACAATCTGAACATCTGAATTACTCTGGACATACAAACAATGTATCAATCTAAATGAAGCAGATAACTTTACTGAGCAATCCAAAGAACTAGAAATCAATACAGCTGAACTATCCAAACAACTTCAGCAATCTAGTTACAAAACAATACAAAAAACTGAGATTTGCAAACAACTAAACAACCCAAACAATTATGAAATCCATATAATCCAATCCAAGCAACTGAGTAATTTGGATAACTGAACAATCAAAACAATTGAGCAATCAAAACAATTGAGCAATCTAAGCAACAACAGGAAAGATTGAAACAACTGCACAAACAGAATTCAGCTGATCAAATTACATGACAAAGTGCCCTGTGATGTCATAATGAAAAATACACCTACCAGGAAGTATGTTTTCTATGTTTTTGCCGTCTATAGTAGCTCTGTAGATGCCATGATGTTGGGGGTGAATGTTGCTCCAGAATAAAAGTCCTCTAGATATATCCAGGCCTAAACCAACTATTCTTCCAGCCTGAAACACAAAAAAGGAATGATATTTAGAAATAAAGTTACATGAAGTATGATATGTATTTCCTAGGAAATTTCTCTGTATAAATATTTTCCAATTGATTAAGAAATTAAACATTACCTTTCATTTTTCATGTTTTGTTATTTTCTAAACAAAAATAGGATGAATTATATAAAAATATTTATAAAATAAATAAATGTAGAATAATATACAGTATAACCTGTCTAATCCAAACACCCCTGGGACCACAAGGTTTTTGTGAGTCAATGGGACATAGAAAAGTGTCCAAACAATAGAGATGTTCAAATATACAAGTTTCACTGTACAAGAACCAGGATGTTACTAAATATATATTTCAGATATTGGATACCAAAACATGTTATATCATTTTATGGCATAGCATAACGATGATGTTACGGCAACAACATTTTTCTATATTACTCTGTAAAATCAATTATATACTCTAAGGTCTGGATTATATGACAATAGGCTATTTAATAGTCTATCAAAATGATAGATTATAATGTCAGGCTGTAACATGGAACAGTTAATCCACCTTATATGGCCATATACCACTAGGGATTATCAAATTAATTATCTTTTTATATCAATTCTAGACTCTAATATACACTACATGGGGGCAGCCTGGAGTGGACATACACTGTATTTTACTATATGAATTCTATTCTGACTTTATCCTTATGTTTTTTTCTTACCTATCCTTTAATGGACTTCCCCTACCTATTGAGTTAAAGAACTTAATTCTGTTTGTACAAGTATCTTTCCAACAATAACATTTAAGTCTCATATACAAATCTGTATATTAACTCATAACTATTCACTACCTCAGAGTAAACACTGTAATAATCATTTACAGTGTAAAAAATGTATACCAAGCGGCCTTATGTTGTTGCAAAGTGCAATCCAAAGTTGCCATATAGATGATGTAATGAACGAGGCTCACGGACATAAAAGCTGAGCAGTGGCTTCAACATGAAATATTGCACTATCGTGTATCATCAATTTGCTCATTTTCTGCTCCACAGCTGACATATTTCTTATTTTCTTTACAGAAAAGCTAAAGGTATTTATATCGCTTAGTAATGTTTTAATACAGATATTAACAAGTATATATTCTGCAAAATGTTATTTGGAATTGTAATGCCAGATCTGACAATGCTTAACAATTACGTTAAATCAACATAATAGGAGTGAGACTCTCCGAGGTCAAGAGGCTAGAAGTAAGAAAAAAGAAATCATTTTAGAGTACACCAGTCAGTTCGATGAGTATCAAAATGAATATGACCCATTAATGTCCCCAAATGCTATGCTGGCAGAAGACCTCAGTTTTATTGTTTGATCTTCACATCTCCTAAATCCAACAGTAGTTGCAACGTATAACTCAGACAGATATCGGAAAATATAAATCTAAAATCCTGAACATGAAATATTTCTTATTATTTCCACACAAAAAAAGCATAAAAACGAGAGTCAATATGCAAAAGTGAAAGAAGCATACAAGTATCAGTTAAAAAAATCTCCATGATACAGAAATATGAAGAAAGATAACTAGAAATCTCTTCATCATTTATTAGGATAAATCTGACTGTATTTAGAGAGTTATAGATGGGTTTAGAAAGCCTCAGAGAATTCTCCAGATTAAAGGTCCATTGCATCCCACGCTAAATGCTCCTTTGAATATCTAGAGCTCAATAAAGCTCAGAGATTCAGAATTTTTCTTTTGAGATTGAAACCGTGTCAAGTTATGATCCAATAACTCTTGAATTTCAAGACCAGTTAATAGCCTTTGATTGAAGTTTTTTAGATAATGAATTGTTATATCATGTATTTTGTAACTTGAACTGAAACCAGGATGAAGTTATTTTATGTTTATTGCTAACTTATCTTGATCATTTTCTCTAATTTCAGGATATCAGGTACAACTTTGTACATAGAAAATATAACATGAAACATTGAATAACATATGTAACATAACACATGTAACATAAAACATAAAATATAGAACATGTAACGAAGACCATATAACACTCAGATTCTCAGATTGACATAGACATGAAAAATTGATGTTTTGGCTCGTCCAAATCTGTTACATAACCTTTTGTATCACAACATGCCCATATATGGTACAGAATATCCATGTTGCACTCTGGGAGCCAATCCTCCTTGCTTTTCAAAAACAATTTTCAAATAGTTCATTTTCTGTTCTATGATAACAAATTGAACATTTCAATTCCATACACCTCAATTCATTTTCTAGTATCTGTGCACAATACTGACTGAATGACAAAAAAGATAATGCAACCATCCCATTCATCACATTTCATTTTCTAGTATCTGTGCACAAGACTTGCTGTGTGATATAATGGATGAGACTGTCTGAGTGGTAAGTAAACACTAATAATGGCTGGTGAAAGAAACAAGTTAATACAAACTATCTGGAGGTGGTATCAGTCTACTCTGAGATGAGAGGTTCTACATCGTGAGATATCACAGCCTTCTCTCAGTGTCCTTCTAGAATTCTTGTGCATAGCAGAGATGGTCTGAGTATCAGAATGGAGGTTCTACTAACCCTTAAAGAACATTCAGTGAAACACTCTTCATAGTTCCTTGTAGACTGGGTATATACAATCTTCTTAGAATTTCCTAATTTCCCAGGATTTTTACTCAACCTGGTAAAAAATCTACTTTTTACCAATATTCCTTGTTAGATTTTACCAGGCTGGTTGGCTTGCATTTATCACTTGATGCTACCCCCTCCCATCTTGATCCACCAAAGTATAACAAGACTAAAGGTATACACTGGGTTAGCAGTATGACCCACTCCTACCTTGAAAATGGTGATGCGTGGTGGGAGGTTAGCAAAGGCTAGAAGCAGGACTAAAGGCTGGTCAAATTATTACAATTTTTAACATTGTCATTTATTCAGTTGGTTGCAAATTGATACCATTTACAGTGAAACCTGTCTTAAAGAACACCTCTCTCTAGTGAACACCTGTGTCTAGTGAAAACCCCTTTCCAGCACATACTCCACTGACTTAAGTATAAAATCTCCTCTTTGTAGTGAACACCTACCTTACAGTGAACACATTTTTGTGCCTCCATAGGTATTCACTGTACACAGGTTTTGCTATAATTGAGTACAAGTAGCTTCTTATTTCACGATCTTGATATGCTTCAATGCAACTTTGAGAGATTTGCCTCACAAATAACATCTAGTATTAAGACTCCCATTTGGATTAGGTTGAGGATAACAGTACAAGAGCAAGAAGGACAACATCATAAATCAGAATTGAGTCAAGCTGTATCAATCAGGCCTCCTATACTTCCACCAATACAGACATCAGTTCTGACCTTGCGAACTACGTTCTACATTCGGGAGCATGGGTCTTTGTGCGAGAGTAGAGAAATATAATTGGGAGAGAGGAAATGGTGGTGCATGATTAAAGATTTCATGTTCGCGATGTGAGAACCATGGTTCAAGTGTAAGAAATGTAGTTCCCGAGGTCAGAACTGATGTTCACATTGGTGGAAGTCTAGGAGGCCTGACAATAGTCTGCTTCAGGGCTGTAGACCCTTTCCCCTTATTATCTACTGTACTTTACTAGCACATCATGTTGGGAGGTATGTAGTGGGGGGGGGGGCTAAGAAGGGCTTGTAGCTAGACTACTGCATTTAAAACGCATTTAAATGTTGTCATCAATGCATTTAATTCTGCAAATATCAATTCAGATATTAGAGCTACATAGTTTCATCATGTCATGGGAGGTGACAGCCTTCTATCATTAATTTCGAGAAAAATATTGATAATTTGAATAAGAAAGGAATGGTGAGTATCAGAATGATAAGTTAAGCATATAGAACAGAACACAACTGCAAATGAGACATTTTTGATTCAGTAAATATTTACTCCAATCAAATGACATAAAAATAAAACATTCTAAATTAGATTTTGTAAATATTTAGTCTGTATTTTGTAAACTATGCCAAGATGGTGAATCACATTATAATGCAATCATTATTCATTTTGTAATTCTCAATTGTACATATCCGTTGCCTGTTAACATTTGATATAATTTACACGGAATGAAATTGCATTACTCCTGAATTACATTATCTTTACTTCATCTAATTACAGCATGTCACTTTTAGCCCAATGGTGCGTTGCTCCATAACAAGATCATTATCGACAATCTCGACAATCCCGTAATAAGTGACTAATATAGAACAATCTGCTCATCCTTGCAGGACTCCAAGATCCGGATTCTGTTCACCTGCCAGGGAGGATGCAATCTGATTCTGCATCAACCTAAACCAAAATAACTGTTTTGCACCTAAATATGTTCAAGCTGTTAAGGTCTATGCAACATAACTAGCAATGTTCCGAAGCTAATCTAAAAGATAACTCATACGGTTTCAACCAAAATATGATGAACCTAAAGTAGATGTCACATTAGCCATGTGGGCTCACCGTTCCAACCTTGTGGTCAAAATTAAAAGATTAATTTGAACTTACTGATTAATTTCTGTATTTGTTAAGATGGGGATATTCTGTTTTGTTTTGATAACTGTTTTGTCCTAATGTATCCATGCTATGCCCCACTATCTGCCACTATCTGCCCCACCGTGCCCTACCATCTGCACTATCCGTATTCACACGGTGGCAAACAGTGATCCCACATGGCCTAAGTATAACAGTTCCATAACCCATAGCTACCCATGGGGTTATTGAGATCTTACCAGTTTCAAAAAAATTATTAAGAGGTTGACTTGCCCCTGAGCACTGGGGGTAACAGAACTCACAATACGGGACGTAACCTTAATAGTCTTAAAACCTGCACTATTCATTATTCAAGGTATTCTTACAAGTTTGTTTTAGGTCAGGCAGCAAATAGGCTGATGCCCAGAGGCTGGTAGCCTCATTTAAATCAAACTATTAAGATATTAGGGTAAGAGGCAACCTCTTGATTCTCTGACATTGTTAA